CGGCAATTTTTTTTCATCACTAATTGATGAATGTCTAAAATATAAAAATAAGGAGAAGCCTAAAACAGCCCCGAGGCCCGGCCCGCGTCTGAACTATGACGTGAAAATTGGCCCGAAGCCCGGCCCTAGGAGCGTAAAAAAGTCGGGGCCCGGGCTGAAATGCAGGCTTAACTATTACTTACTATTACTTGCTATTACTTATGACTTATTTACATATGTAACTGGAAGTAATCCAAAAGTAATCAGATTACATTACTTTTATATTGTGGTACTTGGATTACGCTATTGAATACTTTTTTAATTAAGTAATTTGTAACTGTAATGGAATACATTTTAAAAGTAACCCTCCCAACCCTGGTAGTCAGTTGCCATACTGCCATAAATTACAACTGCTAGCAAACAAAGTCTTTTACCTGTTTGGAATTCAATTATTGCTACACATTTTTCTGCTTGAGTCAAGTCAGTAACAGAAGAATATTTACTTATATATAATTTTGAAGCATCATTACATTTAAACTAGCATTCAAACAAACTGCTTTAGCTTAATTTTACACAGCCAGTTTCAAAAATACATGACCTCTCGCCCCCTATATTATATAATCAATAATATAATCAGTAGGTAAATCAATATATATTTTCCCCCTTCCCAGGCAAAGAGCTCTTTGGTTTGGACACTTTACATAAGGTCCTATGGATCAAACTGCTGGAGGAGATGTTTCTGGGCATGCCCAGTGAATACCCTTGGGGTGATGAGATTATGTTATTTCTGAATGTGTTTAATGGTGCACTGCTCCTACACCCCGAGGACAGCGCCCTCCTCAGGCAATACAGCGCCACTGCCATCAACACAGCTGTACACTTCAACCACCTCTTCTCCCTCAGTGGCTATCAATGGATCCTTCCTACTATGCTCCAGGTTATCCGCAAACATATGAGTAATTTTTATTCAGTATCACTTAGCAATGTTTTTTTCCTGTTTTTATGATGCTTATTTTGTTTTGTGTTGCTGCTGTTCTTTGCTGAAGACATACGCAGATTATGAGAGTAACCCACTGTTGCGTCGAGGGATTGAATTCTGCTGCAGGCAGTTCTATATTCTCCACCGCAAACCTTTCATATTGCAGCTCTTCGCTAGTGTGGCCCCACTGCTGGAGTTCACTGTAAGAACTCTGAGCTTTAATGATCAACTCTTCATTCATAGATGGTGTTATTACAGTGTTATTACAGCACTATTAAACATTGCATTTATGCCATGACTTTTTTTTCTTACAGACTCGCACTAGTACTGGTTTATCAAAAGGAGTATCTTCACAGTGTCTTTTTGACCTGCTGGTATCTTTGGAGGGAGAGACTGCAGATTCCCTGGATGCTCTGGAGCTGGTGAAGGCTGAGAAACCTCTCCGCTCTCTGGGTAAAATGGCTCACAGAGCTCCTGGAGGATACATAGCTTAGATTGACCCTCATGCTCCATGTCACGTGAACAGACTTTTGCCATTGTTTTGGGTTTCTTTTTCAGATTTTTGCTATGGTAATGAGGACCTGGCGTTTTCAATCAGTGAAGCCATAAAGCTCTGTGTCACAGTAGTTGCTTATGCCCCAGAATCCTACCGCAGGTTTGTACCTTGCAAATTTTAATCAAATTCTTTAGGAATTCACAATATATATTGGTACCATATCAGTTATAAGCCGATATCACATGCCTATTAATACTGGATATATATTGTCCAATATTAGATATGTGTGCATGCTCATTTTCCCAGTTTTTTACAGTTAGATTATAATAAAATCAATTTCTTTACAGTCCACTAGATGGTGGTGTTGAGGTTTTTTTTTTTAATCCGTTAATGCACGACAAGCCATGCATTCCATGGTCATTTATCTAAGCCATTTTATTAATAAAAGTAGCGGGGCAGAGTTGACAAATTTATGTTGGACTACTCCTGAACGTTTCTGTGTGCGCAGCGACTACTCCTGAACGTTTCTGTATGCACAGCGGGATCTCTCTCTCTCTCTCTCTCTCTCTCTCTCTCTCTCGGTGATTAAACTGACTTGGAACTACCTGTGCATTAAACGGTTTTAATGCATATCTGCCAGCCAATCAGAATCAAGAATTCCAACAGACCATGGAATAAATGAAAGTAAAATATTCTAAGAGCACAGCAGTGCATAGTATACCTGTTGTAGCACACTGTTTACTTTAAGAGTACGTTATGTTTAATTTAAATGTAAAAATTTTATCTTAATGTAAGACTATGTTTTATTTATTTTAAATTTAACATTAATTTACTTTCAAATGCCCCAATTGCTGAAGGGTCTGCACAAATTTTTTGTACAAGTTCAAGTTGCATTGTTCAAAATACCTGTAGTAGCACAGCAGTGCATACCTGTTTACA